CCCAACCCAAACCATTCTATGAGTCACTGAAATGATAACTTAGAATCATAGACTCACAGAACGGGTTGGGCTTAAAGACCATCCAGTTCCAACCCCCCTGCCATGGGCAGGGACACCTTCCACTAGACCAGGTTGCTCAAAGCCTCGTCCAGCCTGGCCTTTCTTCTTGGGTTTAGTACAGCCAGTGCCCAATTAACTCCTCAGCTGTTTCTGCGAGGCCTTTGCCACATCCCTGCGAGGTTACACCCGCCACTGGGTTAACTTCTGCCTTCCCCGTTTGCTGTGACCAACCACACGTGAGAGTGAGTCGACAACTGGCTGGGATCCTGACTCAGGCCGTGAATATTTTTGAGAGGAAGCAGCAGGTTGCTTTGAAGCTGTCCTGCAACTCCGAAGTATTCTCTCCCTAAACAATTCCATGTCTGACATTCTATCCAGGAGCTCCTGCTCAGTCCTTCACTGTTAATGGTTCTGAGTTGTTTTGGGGTTTTTTACTTTCCTACCGTGATCCAAAGACAGTATGGCGTGATGGTGGAAAAACTAGTTTTCCGGTGTGGCACTGGTGAGATGAAACTTAAGGAAAGCTTGCACAAGGAGAAAATCATCAGTGTTTGGCTGAAAAAGGGCACCTTAAAGCACGTGATGGAAAACCCAACTAGTTTTAAAAACTGACCCAAGCAGAACATTTTCGTGGTAGTTGACAGAAAATCAAACCCAGACGGGTGATCTTTCTGTGAAAGCCTCACTGAGAGTGTTTCTCACCCCTGCCTGGAGGTGGAAAGGCAAACAAAACGTGTTCTCTCTTTATCATGTGGTTTATTGCAAGGTAAGGCTGGCCCACGGCATCCGGGATTCCAGGGGGTGTCTCACGCCTGCTGGTCTGACCATCGCTGCGTTCTTGCCGACAGGAGACGAATTGCAAGGGTGTGGGGACTGTAAACACTCCAGCTCTCGGTGACAGAGGATAATTCTAGATTCTGTGGATTATTAACAGTTTGTTGTCCTGTTTACTTTTGAGTCATTTTAATACTCTCCTTCAGATAACTTAGCTTAGCCTTCTGAAGGTTTCTTCCTACATGGAGGTGTTCAAATGACCTGGTTTTGTCTCCTTTCAGCTGTTACCTTCTCCCTGGGTGCCCTCCTGGTGTGTATTTCTATTTACCTCTATGGATTACCTCGACAAGACACCACGAAAATCCAGCCATCAGAGACTAAGAGCTCAAAAGAGAGACTTGCTACGGTGTGACGCTGCCCGTAAAAATGGACAGGCAAGAGGAAAAACAGGACTTTTTAAAAAAAAAAACAACTGCATTTTTGTAAAATTAGCCTTAAGCTGATGGTTTAAGTGGGATAGCCTAAAAGCAGAAGTTAGTTCTGTTTTACGTGTGAAGTTTCCAGTGGCTGACACCGAGGCTGCGTGACGGCCGGGCAGCCGGACGGGTGTTACGCTGAAGGTGTTCTCCAGTCACATCGGAGAGTCCGCTCGCAAGGAAAGCGGGATGAAGGAACTGACCACTCAATTGTACATAATGTATATAACGGGGGGGGAGACTGGTTCTTTGTGTATTTGATAAACTGCCCTGCCCTTTGAGGGCTGAAATGCCCAAAAGCTTCATAAAAATACATTAAAAAGAGCAATTACTGCCAGCACTGGTTTTTTAACGAGTTAGCAATTGCAGTTTGATTAATGAGGGGAAAGATTTCTCTTCTAGGTGATACGTGTGAGATGAACAGAGTACTTCCCCAGTGTTTTTATGATGAATTAAGTTTTTTTCCCCTCCACGTGGTAAAGTTTCACGTGCCCTGACACAGCTCCAGGAGCAACCACGCTTCGGGCATCGCTTACCTAGACGTGATTATAAGCAGCACTTGCTCTTTGGTTTAAAAAGCCAGAATGAAAGGCTGGTGTTTCGCCTAAGTTGCAGGTTTTCTTTCACTTTCAGATGGGTTTTTTTTATACCTGCTGTAGCTGGTAGAGGGATGTTCTGCGTGTTTGGTCAAACCCCAGCTGCACGGGGGATGGTTCACATCGTCTTGTACCTCTGGCTTAAGTAGGAATGAGTCCGCTCAGAGTGTCGGGCTGGAAGGTTTTTATCTGTACGTGTTATCTCTAAAGCTTTTTGTGCATGACAGAGCGATGCTTGGAAAGAGTTCCCGTAACGCGCATTAGGCTTTGGGTTGACTTGAGTGCCAACTGTATAATCTCAACCTCCTCCCTCAGCCCTTCCAGCACCTGCAACGCCGCACTGAGGGAATACTGCCCTCGGTGCTTTGGGCAACTCGTTCACATGGAAAGTGGAGCTGAAAACGTGCCCAGGTGTATGTCCTGGTTAGATTCCTTCCAACACGAGGTAACCAGCTGCATTTTACTTGCAGGTGGGGTATGTTTACCTCACTTGGGGTAAACATACTTGGGGTAAGCAGGGAGGTTTAGATTAGATATCAGGAAGAAGTTCTGCCCGGAGAGGGTGGTGAGGCACTGGCACCGGTTGCCCAGAGAAGCTGTGGATGCCCCATCCCTGGAAGTGTTCAAGGCCAGGCTGGATGAGGCTTTGAGCAACCTGGTCTAGTGGAAGGTGTCCCTGCCCATGGCAGGGGGGTTGGAACTAGATGGTCTTCAAGGTCCCTTCCATCCCAAACCATTCTGTGATTCTGTGTTAAACACAGCAGTAACAACCGTGCTCAAGCTGTGATCCAGCAAGAGGATGCCAGCGGCTGCGTGCGTGTAGAACAGCGTGCTGCCGAGGTGCTGCCCCGCTGGGACAAGGCCACGGTGGTGGGTCCCGTCGGGCACTGCAGAGCCACCCGCACTGTCTTACACGTGCCGCTCCACCTCTCCTCAGCGGTGGGACAGCTCGGGGGGCCGGGCAGCAACCGCCGCGTCTGACCACGCGTGCGGGGCTGAGGGAGCACCGCTGTTCCCGCTGCAGCGGCTGGGGGGCAGAAAAAAGCATGTCGTGTCGGCGTGGCAGAGGAATGGGCAAGGAACAGGATGCGAGAGGGTGGGCCGTTGGTCTTGGCTGATGGTGCTAAAGGGGAGCGCAGTACAACACCCAGGAGAAAATTCTCCGGCGGGGTCTGACTGATCCGGTTACAGTACACAGGGCACCTGGAGCTGTTGTAGCATCACGCTTAAGTACACAGTGGCAACCACAGAAGGGGAGAACTTTGATCGCTGAGGGCAGCACAGCTAATCCGCTTCCTCTACCAAGAAGATGTTCGATTTGCCAGGGTAAACACAGAGCAGCTTAATGGGAAACAGCAGCTTAAGTACGCTTCTCCGGCCAAGTGCCTGGGAGAAAGCGACTGTGACAGCCTTGGCTCCCCCCAGGTGGCAAGGCCGTGCAAGCGCTTCCGCTGAGGGTACAAGCACACAAACCCCGGGGAGCAGGCAGCGAGTTCCCAGATGGCACGAGCAATGACACACAGGGCCGTACGTATATTCTCTTGAAAAACAAAACCCTTTTACCGAGAGATGTGACTTTATGGCGCGTGTGGCCCCGTTACATTTGTGTCACAGGTGTAATGCCGAGAAGTCTCATTCCGTTGGCTAGAACCAAGCGTGCAGCTTGAAAGAGACGGAGCCTCGCCTGCAAAACAAGAACAGCTGTCAGCTTGCTGTATCGCAACAGACTGGGACGCGGTTCTCGGGACAGCAGTTGGGAGCAGGTGAGAATGCTGTCCCCATGCGGGGCGCTGGGATTCAGCCGCATGTCATCTGAGCACCTGGGAACGCACCAACGCTGGCAGAATGTGCGCCAGCTGTCAATGTCCCTTTGCTGACACTGCCACGGGCCGCTCTTGTCAACGAGGGGGAGCCGAAAGGGGTGTCCAGCCCGGTCTAGTACCCTCGGGGCCGAGCGACCAGAAGTGCTGCCAGCAAAGACTCAGAAGTGAAAATCTCGTGTACCACAGGCTGTTACAGCCCAAGGATGCTGCTGGAATTCCTCCTCTCGCTGTGCCTGGGTGAGAGGCTGTCGAGCAACTATGGGCTGCTTTGGAATGTCACTTTTCCTTGTCCATCTCTTAGAGCCCTTCCCAAAGAGCTCCCTGTGTGCAGCTATCAACCTAACTCCAAAAACCAGTTCTTGAAAGCTGTCAGATATAGAAGATTACTTAGAAACGTTATTTTACAGAATAAGGAACTGCAGTTTTCCTTGTAGCTTGGACTGTCTCAGTTGTTCTTCCCAAGAATGCCTGGAAGCATCTTCAAA